TTAGCCCCCGCCTGTGGCCGGGCAGCCCTGGTGCTGGCCAGGGAGGAGCCTCCCTCTCGCGGGGAAGCTGAGCCATTGTTGTCTGCCCCTCCCCCTTTCCCTGCAGTGGGGGGAGGCGGCTTCTTTCTTCTGCTTCTGGGCGGTGGTCGGCCCCTCCTTCCCCAAGACCCAGGAAGGCCCGTTGGAGTCACATGTCCCCTGCCCCAGAGAGAAGCCATCCTGTGAGGAGAGGCAGCTCAGCGGCTTTGGACAGGGGAGAGCGCGTCAAGGTGACTCAGGCAGGACACGGTTGCGGAGACCGAGGCTGCTGTCCCCACGCCCACTGCGCCCCCTCGCCCCCGGCCAAGGAGGCTCCGTCCCGACACCCCGCCGAGTCCTTCAGCACCAGGGATCCTGGGCCTGGCCAGGGTGTGGGGGGTCTTGACTGGGTCTCGGGGCCCCAGCCCCCGCGAGCAACGGAGACGGCACTGACCGCCATCTCCCAGCCTAACCGAACGGCAGGAGAGGTCTGGGCCCGGAGGCTGGGGCAGTGGCTGCCTGAAAATCCCCAGCCTGGTGGGTCCATTTCTCTAATAAGAATTCCAGAAGTGGCCTCGGGTCTGTCTTAGAAGCGCCTCTGTCTGGGTTTCTTTGTTTGCCTTATCCATCTGAGGGCCCTGCTGTCCCCTGGGCTGCTGCGGTCACTCATTTGCAGAAATAAATTTGACAAATGGCTCCTAAGTCCAAGGACACACCAAGGTCAATTGGGGTCTGAAAAAAACCCCTCCAGTCCCAGGGCACGGCTGGACAGATTGCAGGGGCCACCTTTTCAATAAAAGTGCTGCGTCCTATCCGTCCTCAATTTGGTGTCTCACTGTCCATAGAGGGGTGGGAAGAGAGCATGACAGAAGCCGACAAAGAAGGGTGGGCGAGGCCAGCACACTAGCAGCGGCGGGTCGCACAAGATCCCCACCCGCATGGTGGGTGGCACCACGCGCCGCCCCGTGGAGGTGGGTGCCCAGTTCTGCCTCTCACCCCCATGTCCTTATGCCCAGCTGGGTCTGAGGACGCCAGGAGAGACCCTGCGGGAATGGGCGCCCTCCCCCCCGCCGGTCCCCAGGTAGGTCAGCTGCAGGGGTGGGGGAGGGGGCGGACAAAGGGCTAGAGCCACAGTGGCCCCCAGCCATGCTGTCCCTACGGGGG